CCAATTTGTAACTTTACTGATTGTTTCCTATTCCCGATTGTGATAATTTGACAAGTAGATTCGCTTTGGTTAATGAATGCATAACAGGATAATTTAACCTTTCGACGCATCTGGTCCCGTTTTTTTTGGAATGCACGGTATTTCTTTGTCAGCTTGATTAAAACTCATGCTGACATAATTTATAGATCAATCAAAGTCAATGAAGTGCTTTTTAGTATTGACGACGAAGATATAGAGATAACTTGTGTACGCTTAGACCATGATTTTTCTTTTGTTAATATTTGAGTTTTTTTTTCTTTCATAGACATCATAGAGATTGGGATTTGTAATTGTGGAAAGCTGATTAAGGTTGCCTAACTTTGTAGGTCTAAAGCTTATCCAAAATATCAAAATGCCCTCCCTTTACAAAAGTATATTCAAAATATATAAAAGGAAAACTACCCTCAGAAACTTCCAACTTTGTAATATTGTCTATAAGATTTAAAGATCTTGCTCGCTGTTTTGTAGGAGCTACATATTTTTGGTGTTCGTCATCACATTGATCATGAATTTCAAAGTCCTTATAAATTGAATCAGTTCTATGAATGTGTTTCAAGAAGTCTATTTGTTTTCTGGTCATGAGATCTGGGATGGATTCGTCTTCTATAATTACAGGTCACCGTCAAAATCTGATTTTTATGACTTTATTATTTGCTCTCCTTTTTTGGTTTGTCATAGAACTGGAAAACTCAGCTTTATCTTTAATATTATTGTAAGGTTTAACGCGACATTTTTGCTTTGATGGTTTTACTGTTCGATCAATGTTTGATATTCTAGAATAAACTTGCTTCTCATTGCTTTTCTTATCGATCAGTCTTCGATTTTGTAGGGTCCAATATTTGTTTGCTCCAGATTCGCATTTTTGATTTTACTGTTTCTATCTATCACATCAGTAGATGAGTCTATACATTCATATAGTCGACAATGTCTCTCGTGGTCTGTTGGCCTTGTTGATACTGAACTATCATTTTAGCGATTTTTATAGTTTTTAGATTTTACGTCTATTTTATCTTTTATTGAATAATAAAGCTCGTTTCAAATTCTACTGTGCATGTTGTCAGAACTTTCAATTCTTTGCTTTCGTCTAAACATCTGTTTTTGTCTCTGAAAACTTCATCATATTGATTATACTGTTTAAGGATGTACTCTTCTGATGTTTCAGTCTCGGTAAAATCTCGTTCTGGAATTTTTTCCAAAGCATGTGATACAAGTGGAACATATTAATAAATTTAAAAAAAGTATTATAATCAAACTAAACTCTGTGAAAAAAATGTGTTTTTACAATCAGTAGTTTTTGAGTAATAAAATGTTCAAATTTTATAACCAATCCGGTCAGTGTCATCAGCCAAAATGTTGAGAAAATGGGTGTAGAGTATAAAGAAATGATTTTACCAAAACATGCACATCCCATATCAATTTTTTTTTCCAATCATTTATAACAAAGAAGTTGAAATAATATGCTTTTTGATTTAAAAAAAAAAGGGAAAAATCACAAATTGACAAAATTGACAGCAAGGTCAACTTGTCACGTTAAAGCAACAAATGTTTATAAAACTTTCTAATACTAACACCAACCTATAGTTTTTTTAAGTTAAATTTATTCAGATTGGTCCACTTCATATTTAGTGAAAGTATGAAAAAAATGTTAATTGTAAAAATTAAAGAAAAATGGGAAAATCATTAAAAATGGGTACTTTCAAATGGCCGTAGCAAAAAAAGAAGTGCACCACCATATGATTTTTTTCTTCATTAGTTACTTTCTTACAGTCATATGAACCAAAAAATCAAGTTAAGAAAAACAATTTAATTCTAGAAATTTTTGGATACTCTGAGGTGTATAGCCTTAACCTGATGTTTGTTGCTGTTAGTACGCCCTTGTTTGTCTCCGGGTATCGGCAAACGTATAATTTTACTATTTATTGCACATTTATCTTCTTTATTTCTTGTTTGTGGAAAAGAACAGTCTTCCTTGTCATGATGTCTTTCAATGCTATTTAATCTGAGATCACTATATGTAATTTGCACATCATTATCATCCATTGTTTGCTGAACTGTATCTTAAGGAAGAGTATTGTCATATGTAGGTTATTGTTGTATAGCAGAAATTTGATTTAGTTCACTTATTTCACTAAGGCTATCATTCAAAGTTTTTACACTCATACTGTTGTGATGCTTAGTACTACTTCTTTCACTGTTTATGTCGGAATTACCCTTACTTTCAAAATATGTCTGTTCCATTTCATCGTAGATCTCTTGCTTCTTGTTTATCTTTGTTGTTTTTCGTAAAAATGACAAGTATTTCTAATTTTGTATGCTGAAAAATAATATACATTGCTATCATATAATTCAATGCAATATGGTTTAAAAAAGTTTCGTCGTTATATTTATAATCCTCTAATTTAAAACTACACTTTCAATGAAACGAAAGTTGATATTTCAACTTGTTTCATTTCTTTATTATTGCAAGAAATCTGGGAGATCTATTTATGATATTTGAGCTTCAAAAAACTACGGCTGCCTTAATTTATCCCCGCACATCTTGATGAGTCTGTCCCAACTGAGGACCCTCACAGTGCTTTTCTTATGTCATATCGTAATGTTTTTGTTTATTTTTGTTTTTGACTTATTGGTATGTCTTAGACAGTTTCTGATCAATTTATTCAGATTTACTTACATAGGGCGGTGTAGATCTTGACATATTGTATAAAGATACCGGTTCATTATAGATTAAAGATTATACTTACCTATATATATCGTTTGTATTTTTGTGTTGTAGGGTTTCTGTCTAACAGTTTATGTTTGGGTCCATTTCGTGGCTTCCATTTCAGCCATGTTGGTTTCATTTAAAACAGAGACGATTGGGAATTCAAATAATAAACGTTTTAGTGTCAATGTAAAAACTACAGTATAAAAAGTATACTCACATTGTCAAAAAATATCAAATTAATTTGTTCTGGCTACGAAACAAAAGAAAAGTTCGACAATCTTCGTTTTTCAGTTCGAACAAACAAATTGTAAATTTTCCGGTTATGAACGTTTATTGCATAGTTTACAACAATTAGACCTTTTTAATATGTGTGTGTTTTTTTCTCAATATATTGATGCTGTATTTCTTAAGAAATAAAAGCTTCTTCAAAAATTTCATAGAATTTGTTTTGACAAAGTAAATAATGTCTAACAAGCTTTCATGCCAGACTGATGAACTTTAACCTTAGACTGTATCTAAAAGTTTATCCGAAAATACGGCAAATGAAAACAAAAAACAAAATTTCAACATTTTCCTCTGGAAATTGTCTTTTGGTAATCAAAAATGTTTTGTCCAATTTCATGAAATTCCTCGAAGGTTTAAATAAAGGCAACAGTATTATACCGCTATTCGAAATTCTAAAATCGATTGAGAAAAATCAAATCCGGGTAACAAACTAAAACTGAGGGAAACACATCAAATATAAAAGGAGAACAACGACACAACAGAAACTCAACACTAAAATGCAACACACACAGAAACGAACTATAATATAACAATGGCCATTTTCCTGACTTGGTACAGGACATTTTAAGAAAAAAATGGTGGGTTGAACCTGGTTTTGTGGCTAGCCAACCTCGCACTTTTATGGCAATGTTAAATATAATACTAAAATGACACCATAACATGACAGGAATGCAGTACAAATAAATGCAAGAACATTTGGGACAGAGAATTACGCAAATAAACAATACAATATAGTACATATCGACAACGAAACAACAGAAACACGAAATGAACAAAACACAAACGACAATGCAACAGACACAGAAACAAACTATACGATAACAATTGCCATTTTCCTGACTTGGTACAGGACATTTTTAAAAAAAAAAAATGGTGGGTTGAACCTGGTTTTGTGGCTAGCCAAACCTCCCGCTTTTATGGCAATGTTAAATATAACATTAAAATGCCAAGATTACATGACAGGACTACAATACAAATAAATGGGAGAACATACAGTTATTGATTTCTAACAAAACTCAATCCACAGACTGAACCAAAAAATTGGCGCCACCGACCCCGAAGGCAGAATGTAGGATCGCTATGTCTCGCTTCTGCTTCTGCTTCTCGTTTCTGCGACATGAATATTGCACCCTTTAAACACATATTTTAAGAACTTCTAGCATTTTTACATGTATGTTTAAGATGCTAACCAACTCTTTATTTCTTTTTTAATATATGTATATTTTTGCATAAAATTATGTTCCTTTTTATGTAATTGATTTTTAGTCTTCAGGTTTTATAAACTCTATTTATAAGCCATCATTTTACCATATATCATTTGGTAACCAGTTCCAAAATTATATTGTCAGAACCTCAAGATACTAAGACGTGGCCCTTAAACAGTATTGGAATGAGGGCATATTGATAGACTTTTTAAAGAAAAAAGCCAGTTATTAAAAAAGTTGGTAAAAGATTTGATATCTTAGCATTATAAATTCACTAACTCTAAACAACGTATACCTACGTGAACAATGTATAATACCATTAACAATTTTCTAATGCCTTTTAAATAACAGTAACATCGCGAGAATAACAATTATCACAACCGAGTATGGCGCTGTAACAGAACAAATAATCTCAATTGGAATTCGATTTGATTAATTGCAAAAAAACTCCCCCAATTTTGCTTTAAAAAACATAAAATTAATTGCACAACATACAAATTTTAGCAAAAACGACGTATTCTTTTTCTATAAAAATATACAGTTCCTGATAAATAAACTCATCATGGATACCAGGATTGAAATTTTGTACCAGGCGCGCGTTTTGTCTTCAAATGATTCATCAGTAACGCTCAAACCAAATAAAATGCTCCGCAGGGCGCAGCTTGATACGACCGCAGAGGTCGAACCCTGAACAGTTGGGGCAAGTATGGACACAACATTCAAGTTTGATACAGCTTTGCATTTGGATTGTGATTAAATATTTGACACAGCATAGGTTTCTGACACAGAATAAATGTGGTCTAAGAACTTAAAAATTTTAAATTGGACATTCACCTATTATGGTCCAATATCCAAAATCTAAATACATGGTTAGATTCAGCATATCAAAGAACCCCAAGAATTCAATTTTTGATGAAATCAAACAAAGTTTAATTTTGGACCCTTTTGACCTCAATGTGGACAAAGTTGATAACGGGGCCCAAAAATCAAAAAACTAAATACATGGTTAGATTCAGCATATCAAAGAACCCCATATATTCAATTTTTGTTGAAATCAAACAAAGTTTAATTTTGGACCCCGATTTGGACCAACTTCAAAACTGGGCCCATAATCAAAAATCTAAATACATTTTTAGATTCAGCATATTAAAGAACCCTAAGAATTCAATTTTTGTTAAAATCAAACTAAAATTTAATTTTGGACCCTTTGGACCTTAATGTAGACCAATTTGAAAACGGAACCAAAAATTAAGAATCTAAATACATGGTTAGATTCGGCATATCAAAGAACCCAAATAATTCAATTTTTGATGAAATCAAACAAAGTTTAATTTTGGACCCTTTGGACCTCAAGGTGGACCAATTTAAAAACGGGGCCCAAAATCCAAAAACTAAATACACGGTTAGATTCAGCATATTAAAGAACCCCAAGAATTCAAGAATAAAACCCCATTGAAATTGGTCAAGAAATAAGCAATTTATACGAAGTATCTTCTTTTGCACAATACTGTGCAATTAAATATTTCTTGCTATTGCGCAATACTGTACAATTGACAATTTCTTGCTTTTGCGCAATATTGTGCTATTGGATATTTCTTGCTATTGCGCAATACTGTGCAATTGAAGATTTTTTGCTATTGCGCAATACTGTGCAATTGAAGATTTCTTGCTATTGTGCAATACTGTGCAATTGAAAATTTCTTGCTATTGCACAATACTTATTATATAATAATTTACACATCCTGTTTGGTGTGTATCTCCTACCATATCATTATTATTTGCTTTTAAATATAAATCAGAAATAACCAACTTAAAATGGAAAATTTTAAAAGAAAAAAAAAAGGGAAAAAAAAAAAAATCCCCCCCCCCAATTTTTTGAACCCCCTTATGATTCATCACCCCAAACTCAATCCCAGCCTTCCCTTTGTGGAATGGTACCTTGCAGTACAATTTCAGAGAGATCCATACACTTGAACACAAGTTATTGTCTGGAAACTAGAAAAATGTGTTTTTTGGCCCCAAATTCCTAAACGTTTAGGGCAATTACCCCCAAACTCAAACCCAGCTTTCCCTTTGTGATATGGAACCTTGTAGTACAATTTCAGAAAGATCCATACACTTACACACAAGTTATTGTTCTGAAACTAGAAAAATGCTTGTTTTTTGCCCCTTTTTTGCCCCTAATTCCTAAAATATTGAGGCAATTACCCCCATCATCAATCCCAGCCTTCCCTTTGTGGTATGGTACCTTGCAGTACAATTTCAGAGAGATCCATACACTTGAACACACAAGTTATTGTCTGGAAACTAGAAAAATGCTTATTTTTGGCCCCTTTTTGGCCCCCAATTCCTAAACGTTTCGGCAATTACCCCCCAAACTCAATTCCAGCTTTCCCTTTGTGATATGGAACCTTGTAGTACAATTTCAGAAAGATCCATATACTTACACACAAGTTATTGTCATGAAACTAGAAAAATGCTTGTTTTTTGCCCCTTTTTTTGCCCCTTATTCCTAAAATTTTGAGGCAATTACCCCCAAAATCAAAACCCAGCATTCTTTTTGTGATATGGAACCTTGTGGTACAATGTCAGAGAGATCCATACACTAACACACAAGTTATGTCTGGAAGTTACAAAAATGCTTATTTTTGGCCCCTTTTTGGCCCCTAATTCCTTTACTGTTGGTACCATAACTTCCAAAATCAATCCCAACCTTCCTTTTGTGGTATTGAACCTTGTGGTAAAATTTCATAGAGATCCATTCACTTAAACTAAAGTTAGAGTGCGAAAACCAATGTGTCTTCGGACGACGCCGGACGACGCCAGACGACGACGACGACGCCAACGTCATGCCAATATACGACCACAAAATTTTTTTTGCGGTCGTATAAAAATAAAGTTTTTGGCAAATTTCCAATGAAGTTCATTAAACTAAAGTTATTGGCAAATTTCCAATGGAATTTATTAATAATAAAGTTTTTGGCAAATTTCCAACATACATAATTTAAAAGCAGTTTAGGTGAGATAAACAAAAAAGCTCCATCAGCAACATTCCATATTGGCAAATTTCCAATGAAGTTCATTAAACTAAAGTACTTGGCAAATTTCCAATGGAATTTATTAATAATAAAGTTTTTGGCAAATTTCCAATATACATAATTTAAAAGCAGTTTAGGTGAGATATTCAAATGAGTTTCAATTACCAACCTTACACTGCCTTTTAAATTATGTTTTGTACTTAAGTAATTGTCCATTAACCTGGAAACCCTTTTCCCCCCTTTTTTGCACCTTATTCCTTAACGGTTTGAGCCATAACTCCCAAAGACAATTCTTACCATCCCTTTGTGGTATTCCAATATCCAAAATCTAAATCCATGGTTAGATTCAGCATATCAAAGAACCCCAAGAATTCAATTTTTGATGAAATCAAATAAAGTTCAATTTTGGACCCTTTAAATCTCAATGTGAACCAATTTGATAAACGGGCCCAAATATCAAAAATCTAAATATATGGTTAGATTCAGCATATCGAAGAACCCCTTATATTCAATTTTTGTTGAAATCAAACAAAGTTTAATTTTGGACCCCGATTTGGACCAACTTGAATACTGGGCCCATAATAAAAAAAACTAAGTACATGTTTAGATTCAGCATATCAAAGAACCCCAAGAATTCAATTTTTGTTAAAATCAAACTAAGTTTAATTTTGGACCCTTTGGACCTTAATGTAGACCAATTTGAAAACAGGACCAAAAATTAAGAATCTAAATACACGGTTAGATTAGGCAATTACCCCCAAAATCAATCCCAGCCTTCCCTTTGTGGTATGGTACCTTGCAGTACAATTTCAGAGAGATCCATACACTTGAACACAAGTTATTGTCTGGAAACTAGAAAAATGCTTATTTTTGGACCCTTTTTAGCCCCTTATTCCTAAACGTTTTGGGCAATTACACCCAAACTCAATTCCAGCTTTCCCTTTGTGATATGGAACCTTGTAGTACAATTTCAGAAAGATCCATACACTTACACACAAGTTATTGTCATGAAACTGGAAAAATGCTTGTTTTTTGCCCCTTTTTTTGGCCCCTAATTCCTAATATTTTGAGGCAATTACCCCCAAAATCAATCCCAGCATTTCCTGTGTGATATGGATACTTGTGGTACAATTTCACAGAGATCCATACACTTGAACACAAGTTATTGTCTGGAAACTAGAATAAAATGCTCCGCAGGGCGCAGCTTGATACGACCGCAGAGGTCAAACCCTGAACAGTTGGGGCAAGTATGGACACAACATTCAAGCTTGATACAGCTCTACATTTGGATTGTGATTAAATATTTGACACAGCATAGCTTTCTGACACAGAATGAATGTGGTCTAAGAACTTAAAAATTTTAAATTGGACATTCACCTATTATGGTCCAATATCCAAAATCTAAATACATGGTTAGATCCAGCATATCAAAGAACCCCAAGAATTCAATTTTTGATGAAATCAAACAGAGTTTAATTTTGGACCCTTTTGACCTCAATGTGGACAAAGTTGATAACGGGGCCCAAAAATCTAAATACATGGTTAGATTCAGCATATCAAAGAACCCCATATATTCAATTTTTGTTGAAATCAAACAAAGTTTAATTTTGGACCCCGATTTGGACCAACTTGAAAACTGGGCCCATAATCAAAAATCTAAATACATGTTTAGATTCAGCATATCAAAGAACACTAAAAATTCAATTTTTGTTAAAATCAAACTAAGTTTAATTTTGGATCCTTTGGACCTTAATGTAGACCAATTTGAAAACGGAACCAAAAATTAAGAATCTAAATACACGGTTAGATTCGGCATATCAAAGAACCCCAATAATTCAATTTTTGATGAAATCAAAACAAAGTTAAATTTTGGACCCTTTGGACCTCAATGTGGACCAATTTAAAAACGGGGCCCAAAATCCAAAAACTTAATACACGGTTATATTCAGCATATTAAAGAACCCCAAGAATTCAAGAATAAAACCCCATTGAAATTGATCAAAAAAATAAGCAATTTATAAGAAGTATCTTCTTTTGCACAATACTGTGCAATTGAATATTTCTTGCTATTGCGCAATACTGTACAATTGACAATTTCTTGCTATTGCGCAATATTGTGCTATTGGATATTTCTTGCTATTGCGCAATACTGTGCAATTGAAGATTTCTTGCTATTGCGCAATACTGTGCAATTGAAGATTTCTTGCTATTGTGCAATACTGTGCAATTGAAAATTTCTTGCTATTGCACAATACTTATTATATAAAAATTTACACATCCTGTTTGGTGTGTATCTCCTACCATATCATTATTATTTGCTTTTAAATATAAATCAGAAATAACCAACTTAAAACGGAAAATTTTAAAAGAAAAAAAAAGGAAAAAAAGAAAAAAAAAGAAAAAAAAAAATCCCCCCCCCCCCCCAAAATTTTTTGAACCCCCTTATGATTCATCACCCCCAAACTCAATCCCAGCCTTCCCTTTGTGGTATGGTACCTTGCAGTACAATTTCAGAGAGATCCATACACTTGAACACAAGTTATTGTCTTGAAACTAGAAAAATGCTTATTTTTGGCCCCTTTTTGGCCCCCAATTCCTAAACGTTTCAGGCAATTACCCCCGAACTCAATTCCAGCTTATCCTTTGTGATATGAAACCTTGTAGTACAATTTCAGAAATATCCAAACACTTACACACAAGTTATTGTCATGAAACTAGAAAAATGCTTGTTTTTTGCCCCTTTTTTTGCCCCTAATTCCTAAAATTTTGAGGCAATTACCCCCAAAATCAATTACAGCCTTCCCTTTGTGATATGGAACCTTGTGGTACAATGTCAGAGAGATCCATACACTTACACACAAGTTATGGTCTGAAAGTTACAAAATGCTTATTTTTGGCCCCTTTTTGGCCCCTAATTCCTTAACTGTTGGTACCATAACCCTCAAAATCAATCCCAACCTTCCTGTCGTGGTATTGAACCTTATGGTAAAATTTCATGGAGATCCATTCACTTAAACTAAAGTTAGAGTGCGAAAACCAATGTGTCTTCGGACGACGCCGGACGACGCCAGACGACGACGACGACGACGACGACGACGACGACGACGACGACGCCAACGTCATACCAATATACGACCAAAAAAATTTTAATTTTTGCGGTCGTATAAAAAGTAAAAAAGGCCAAATAAAGTACACTGCGTTCGTCATTTTGTTGTTGATGTTACTCGCAGTTTCTTTTCCAAATTCAAATTCTGATACAATATCATCAATGTAGCGATAAATTTTCACTTCTGTAACCGTACTGTGAACAACAAATTTATTTATTTTGTAAAAAATATTTCCGTACTCTTTACAACAAAATTATTATATTTAAATTTAAATGTGTACGTTATTTCATTTAACGCCATTTTGTCCTAGGTTAGAGTTGTCTTTTTGACATTGTTTTGCATCTTTTTTATTAATATTGTATTTATGTTGTGTCAAAGATCAAATTTATTTTTATAGTGTATGTTTTCTTGGTCTAATTTATATGTCTTTTTGATCGAGTTAAGCCATTTCAATTGATATTTTATAGTGTGTCTTTTTGTGTTGTTATGTTACATACTGTTTCAGATTGGGTGGAAGGTTGGCGCCTGTTAAAACGTTTAAACCCGCTGCGTTTGTATGCACCTGTCCTAAGTCAGGAGCCTGTTGTTCAGTAGTCGTCGTTTGTTTATGTGTTTTTTTACTTAGATTAGACCTTTAGTTTTACTGTTTGATTTGTTTTACGCTAGTCATTTTGGGGCCCTTTATAGCTTGCTGTACGGTGTGAGCCAAGGCTCCGTGTTGAAGGCCGTACTTTAACCTATAATTGTTTACTTTTTACACATTGTGACTTGGATGGAGATTTGTCTCATTGGCACTCATACCACATCTTCTTATTGATATTTACATCGCATTAAAATGTCAAATATGACTATTTAAAACAAGCTTATGTAAATCTATCAAGTGTGTCAGATTCAAAATATATACAAATGTTTGTGGTCTTTCATACAGGACATAAAAAGACTAAAAAAAAATAGCAAAGACTGATGGAGTTGTAACGAAAATTAAGACAAAGTTGTTATATCTTATATATTATTTCAAATAAAACGAATTATTTATTCTCGTTATTTGAAAAAAATAAATGCCTAATGCAGTTGAAGAGTTTCATTGTTATAGAGAATCAAAAGAAAAAAAAGTACAATTGAAGCTTTTATTTTTTTACTTCACTTACCTTGATAACACGAATATAGTTTCTGTGTTCTTAGTGTCATTAGCGTCTATAAAAGGAAACGTTGATATCATTGTCGACATAAGCAATAATGATAAACAATATGTTGCCATCATTTTGAAATTTATAATATTTATGAATCAAATAATGAAAAAACTTTTAAAAAAAAAGACGTACAACTTAAAATAAATGATAGTTTTAAGTTGAAGCTACCTAGTAAGTTGGCATCATCCCTATATTAAAGGAACTTTGTATAAAGGCCGTACGGTGGCCTATAATTGCTTTCTTCAACTTCATGTAAACGTGGATATATAGTTGTCTCATTGGCAATCATACCGAATGTCCTCATTTTTATATTGGCATTTTTTAATTTGTATACCTCTCGACAAAAGACAGGAATTTTGTTTTGTCCTTATCTGTAAATATGCCCGTCAAGAAAAGGAATATAAGATTGTCTACTATATTTCTATAATGAGATAGAATGATTGTCACACTCTGAATGTGGTTTATTTTCAGATTTTCATTTTCGTGATCGAAATACAAAGTAGAACTTCAATTGTGAATAAACAGTGTACTGTAAATAATCTCTTCTCATACATTTTTTTATATCTAGAATTATTTTGATATTTAAGTTTTATTCGAATACTGAAGATGTGTACTTTTATTAATATTTCTTTCAAAAATGACAATTAATTGAACCGCTACTTCTCCCCCGGTCCTTCATCATTTCAGCTAAAATGTTTTTTGTTTTATGGTTGTTAAGTCTGTCAATATGTCGTGACCTTTCATTGAATCGTAGGATAGATTCCTTTCGTACCCACAACTTGTAGTGTTCGCAAACACGTCTTCACCGTCTTGAACTTAACCGATCCTTTCTCTTATTTCTAGCTGATGTGTTTAATACGTTTTTTGGTATTAATAGGAACGTTTATATACTGCAAAAATTTATCTTACGGAGCAAACTTTGAATAAATTTTATCATAAACAGGTATTATTGTCCTTTAAAAGATTTGGGTATAACAGTTTACAAGGGCAATTCAATATGAAAATGTACGACAACAGAGACGATGTCACATCATAATTTCTAAGCGATATTGTTTATAAAACCCATAAATTAAGATACAATCCATGTTAACTAATTAATCCTTTGAATAAATTTATTCTAAAAGGTTATCAAATAAACATTGTGGTAAGATTCTTGAATATTGTCTTTATCGGAAGTAACATTCATTGTTTTTTCTTGAACTTAAACATAACTAAATAAGTATTGCTATATATGTATGAAAAAGTATGGTCGTACATCCTGTCGATGCTTACATTTTGACATTACATACGGTCATGTTTTTCTCAGAATATGTATGACGTCGTTACACTACATCCGTTTGATGTGTACTTGGTATTTTAGTCTGGAAGAAGGTGGTTTATTTAATAGTTGAAATTTGCTTTGAATCCGAGGCAACAGTAGTTTACCTATTTTAGTAAATGCAAATGCTCTAACAATCGGTACTATTCGTTCGTTTTTCTTTGTGCTGATCTTATTAGTTAATATTTTACCAGTTAATTTTTTTAGTTATTTCATAATGTAATACTTTTACACCATTGGCAAAGGTTAGGGAAAGTATTGAGCGTATGCAAGCAAGTTTACCACGGCCAAATTCTTTTTTGTCTGTAATTCATGGCTGTCGTTGGTTGCTATCTACAATATTTGTTTTCTCGTTTATTGTTCTAAGCATAAACGAGTCGTTGGTTTTCTCTTTGGGTTTGTTTTCCATTTTGTCATGCCGAGGCTTTTTATATGTTATTCAACGGTATGTTTTTGTTCATTGTTGAAAGCCTTAGTCAATGATCGCCGTGAAAACATGTCACTAGTGAGTCAGACCGATGCCTTGGTAGTTTAAATGCTTGGTATTTGTTTCATTAGCAAACAAGCCTTAGTATACAATGGTAAATTTCGACAAAATTTCTTTTAACCATAAACTAAACTTCAAATCTGGAACAAAAATAGTTAAATTTACATGGGAGGAACTCTTGGGCACTGAACTGATCGAGGGGAATCGATTGAATTACGGCAAAATGTAAGTACATGTATCCTGTGTCTAATATTTCACTATTTATTTGTAGTAAAGGTAATTATATCATCTGTAATCGTCGTGATGCCCTCAATTTAAATTTCAAAGATAGGGCTCGAATCTGACTGGAAGCGTTTTGATCAAATGATGTGATAATTGATGATACTTTTCCAAGTTCAGTTGCTTTAAGAAAATCACACAAAGGTTACATTCTTAAGGATTTATTTAACAAAAACTTCTAACAACCATTATAAAACTATATAAATAGATATTTCACAACATATCAATGTAACCACCCATTAAAGATATTTCCTTCATGCTTAGTAAATTGTATGTAAACATATATTTTTTAAAAATAATATAAAGCACCAATTTCAAAAGACAACAAATATAACGATAGAATAAGAGTATGTAAATGTTGAGATAATGAAATAATGTCAAAATCATATTGAATTATCTATATTTCATTTTTTTTAAGTGTCACTTTTTAAAATCTAATTATGGTTTCTCTGAAAATAAATTAGCTTACAACTATAAACATAAACAAATATGCATGCACCAAAAATCACACACATACAAGTTTCAACTTAAGGACACATTTTAAATAATAGTTGTTTTTCCAACTACATTTTATATTATCCAAGCTTCAAATGATATTGATCTTTATTTCACAAGTTTATTTGATTGACCCTGGCATGCAAAATTTAGAATGTATGCCACATATATATTTGACCTTAAAAGTCGTGAAAGAGCAGTTGTTATTCAATACAAATATGTTGCTTTGCCCTGCAAAAAATCAAAGTGTAAACTTGGTAAACATTTTTGTCCAATTAAGTTTTGAATTAACATTTCTGGACAACAGGAAAAACAAACTGGACTTAACTCTCATATAAAATTGCTACCAGTCCCTACACTTCAAAAATAGTTATGAAGAAATTACCTCTGACTCAAAACTAAAAGCAACGCACCACACTATGTCTAAATAAAACATTTTTTGCACATAAACCAAAATAAAAACATTCAAAACAACAACTCACCATAACCGTTCAAATTAAAAAAAAAAAAATCGTCAAAACTAACAAAATTCAGTGTCTAAAAATAGAAGAGAGCAATTCAATACATTATTTCAAAAAAAAGACAGTTCGCCTACTTCTTTCAACATTAGTAGTTACTCCATGTATTTTTATCAGTTAATAAATTAGTTTACAATGAGGCATTTGAAATTCAATTAATGTTTGAGTCAAAATAATAGATTTGTATTTCTTTGATTACTTTTCACCATTTTACAAGAAAATTGGAACATTGTCATGTTGATATTTTATGTAATTTCATCTGTGTCACTGCATATTTTGACATATTCGTAAAATACAAGTATAAAAGTGTTAACCGAGAATCGGATTTAAACTTTTTTCTTTCAGTAACATTATGATTTGCTGTTAAGTTAGTTTACTTGATTTTGTCAATAATGGACAAATTTCTAAATCATATTCCTTACACTGCGCATTATCAATGTTCTTCAACTTCGTACATTAGTTTAGCCATTTTAATTTGTTTGATTCGAGCGTCACTAATAGGTCTTTTGTCGACAAAATGCGTGTCTGGCGTACAAACAGTTTAATCCTGGTATCAGTAAAATAAATAAAATGACGCGTTGCTGAGAATATGACAGAGCAGACTGTCATAATTTGAAAAACTTCTTCAATCTTTGCTTCGCCTCGGTTGATGATATTTTCTCGGGGTAATAAATATTCTATTTCACCTTCTAAGATTTGTGTTATTTAAAATGTAGGTAAACGCTGCAGATTTTAAGTAAAATGGAATAGTGGTGAGCTAAATTATGAATGGACTTTTTGACAAAACATTATTATGTAGGATATTTGCTCGGTCCACGTAAAACAACTCTGTTATCTTTCAGGGAGTGGATAATGATCTGCTTCAATTTTTTTTCGGGAATGACACAGAATTGAATTTAATCGATACTAAGAAAGTAATGAAATTGTTGACACTTAAAATAATAGTTTTATTTTTAAATAAGAAATACTTGTCTGTCTCCATAACTTGGGTCACTGTATGTCCCCATCCCTACATACAGGCAAGGTGGACATGGGTAAAGGAAAATGGGAAAGAGGGGGCGGGAAGCGGTAGTCAGGAGGCGGGAACTGGAGTCAGAGGGGGGTGGTAAAATAAAGGGGCATAACTCTAGAACGGTAAAAGTGACTCCACCAAAATTCAAACTTGATCTGTGTTTTGTAGTAATAAGCATTGTGTATAAGAGTCATTTCATTTTGTTGAGGCAAACTAAAGATAGAACGGAAACGAAAAATGTAAAGGGCATTACTCTAGAACGGTAAAAGTGACGCCACTCAAATTCAAACTTGATCTGTGTTTTGTGGTGATAAGCATCATGTATAAGTTTCATAACATTTGGTTGAGGCTAACTTAAGTTAGAGAACGGAAACGAAAAATTCAGCATTTTTTTCATTTGTAAAGGTCATAACTCTAGAACAGTAATAATGACGCCACCAAAATTCATACTTGATTTGTACTTTGTAGTAATAAGCATTGTGTATAACATTTGGTGGGGCAAATTTAAGTTAGAGAACGGAAATGAAAAATTCAGCAATTTTTCCTTTTGTAAAGGAGAATAACTATAGAACGGTAAATGTGACGCCACTCAAATTCAAACTTGATCTGTGTTTTGTAGAAATAAGCATTGTGTATAAGTTTTATAACATTTGGTTGAGGCAAACTAAAGTTAGAGAACGAAAACCAATTTTGGGACGTACGGACGGACGGACAAGGGTAAAACTTAATGCCCCCTCCGCAAAGGCGGGGGCATAAAAAAGGGATATTCTGGGAAACGTTTTGACTGATTTCCATCTAAGAGTGAGGGGAAGGGCAGTGGAAGTAGGGGGAGGGATTTTGGGAAGCGGGGGTAGTTAGATTGGGAGTAGGGAAGTGGGAATCAGGGACCCCCTGT